TGCTACCAAATGTCACAACGTAACTGGGTGATTATAAAGGAGCTCTACAGGTGTCTCCAAAGGTAAATGTTGGGTTGGCGTATTTCTAGATTAGGATTTGTCACTCCGATTGTCGGAGAGGTATCTTTGGGCCCTCTCGGTAATGCACATCACATAAGCCTTGCAAGCATTGCAACTAATGAGTTAGTTGCGAGATGATGTATTACGAAACGAGTAAAGAGACTTGCTAGTAACGAGATTGAACTAGGTATTGAGATACCGACGATCGAATCTCAGGCAAGTAACATACCGATGACAAAGGGAACAACGTATGTTGTTATGCGTCTGACCGGTAAAGATCTTCGTCGAATATGTGGGAGCCAATATGAGCATCCAGGTTCCGCTATTGGTTATTGACCAGAGACATGTCTCGGTCATGTCTACATTGTTCTCGAACCCGTAGGGTCCGCACGCTTAAGGTTTCGATGACAGTTATATTATGAGTTTATGAGTTTTGATGTACCGAAGTTAGTTCGGAGTCCCGGATGTGATCACGGACATGACGAGGAGTCTCGAAATGGTCGAGACATAAAGATTGATATATTGGACGGCTATATTCGGACACCGGAAGTGTTCCGGGTGATTTCGGAGAAAACCAGAGTGCCGGAGGGTTACCGGAACCCCCCCCGGGAGAAGTAATGGGCCATATGGGCCTTAGTGGAGAGAGAGAGGAGGAGCCAGGGTGGGCCGCGCGCCTCCTCCCCCCTGGTCCGAATTGGACTAGGAGAGGGGGGGCGGCGCCCCCCCTTTCCTTCTCCCTCCCCCCTTCCTTTCCCCCTCCTAGTAGGAGTAGGAAAGAGGGGAGTCCTACTCCTACTAGGAGGAGGACTCCTCCTCCTTGGCGCGCCATAGGGCCGGCCGGCCTCCTCCCCTTGCTCCTTTATATACGGGGGCAGGGGGCACCCCTAGACACACAAGTTGATCCACGTGATTGTTTTCTTAGCCGTGTGCGGTGCCCCCTTCCACCATAATCCTCAATAATATTGTAGCGGTGCTTAGGCGAAGCCCTGCGACGGTAGAACATCAAGATCGTCACCACGCCGTCGTGCTGACGGAACTCTTCCCCGACACTTTGCTGGATCGAAGTCCGGAGATCGTCATCGAGCTGAACGTGTGCTAAAACTCAGAGGTGTCGTAGTTTCGGTGCTTGATCGGTCGGGCCGTGAAGACGTACGACTACATCAACCGCGTTGTCATAACGCTTCCGCTGTCGGTCTACAAGGGTACGTAGATCACACTCTCCCCTCTCGTTGCTATGCATCACCATGATCTTGCGTGTGCGTAGGAAATTTTTTGAAATTACTACGTTCCCTAACAACGTCGCCGATGCCGGGCCGGCCTAGCCGACCAAAGTTTCCTCCGGTCCCCATCATATGCCACCAAACCTCCGTCTGCTCTGGATCCGGCAGCGAGCCACGATCCAAAACCTGCCAAGATGCAAGAGCCATGGGACTCAACCCGCCATGAGGATCGAGAAGAACCTATTGTAGATCTCCAGACGTCGAAACCCGCGGTCCGACGTGGCCAGTGACGACCATCACCACCTCGCGGCGGCCGACGGAGTCCGAAGACAGGATCCAGATGGATCCGATCTGGATCCGGCGGCACCCGCGACCACCGGGCAGGCCCAATGCAGCCACCACCTCGCGACACGCAGGCCGCCACCACCGTGCCGCGCACGACGCTGCTGGAAGACCCGCCGACCGCGCTGCCGAACCCCACATTCGCCCGGCGCTCCTATCGACCCTGCTGTCCCACGCCAGCCAAGACGAAAAGGATGAGGAGAAGCCTCGCCGCCGGTCAGGCTTCGCCCGGCGGTGCTGCGGACGGCGGCGAGGAGGGAGAGGGGCGAAGGAGGTGCGAGACGCGGCGGCTAGGGTTTCCCCCTGGGTCGCCCGCAGGGGCAACACGAGGGGGCGACCTCTGAAACCGCGAAGTTTTCCCCTCTTAACACGAGGGGGCGAGGTGGCGCCTGCCTCCTCTTGAAAGGGCTATTTTTTTCCTTTTTTTTTGAACACTTGTTTTTTTCAATTGTCTGGTTGCCTCCGTCCTTGAGATTTGTCAAAATTAATGCAGACGCGGCTGTCGCACGTGATGGTAGTTATGGAGCAGCAGCGGTGGCATGTAGAGATCACTCTGGATTTTTTCTGGGAGCTTCTTCGGTCACACTCAAATTTGTTTCAGAACCAACAACACTTGAAGCCTTGGATGTTTGTGAAGGACGGGCAATTGCAGAAGATCTTTACGTTCATAAAATTCATATTGTGACGGACTGCAGGACGGTGGTGAATGACATCAAGGAGGATTCGTCGTCGGAGTATGGTGCCATAGTACGTGAAATAATAGAACGATCTAGGAGTTTTACTGTCTGTAATATTATTCATTGGTTTAGGAGCTCAATTTTAAAATGTGAAGGATAGGAATCAATCTTATGAAGAAATAGGAATCTGTTTCTATGAACCAAAGGGCTCTACAGAAAAAATTCCTATAAGAATCATATCCTATAAAATTCATCCAAACTAAAGGAGACCTTAATAGAAATGGTGCGAGGAGAACATTCCCCGCCAGCCTTGGAGCACCCTCACGCCACCTCACACCACAATGTTACGGTGTGGCCCATTTGATTGACCTAGCTGCGACCGGAGGTCAATCATCCATGTGTCGGCATCAGGAAGCACGCTGCAGGCTAGATCTTGACTGTCCCTTCCCCCAAGCTCGCTCCCCGCGGCATGTGCTCTCCTTCGGTATGCTCCCACACCAGTGGAAGACCAGTCTCCCATTGCCCCATGCCAAAAGGAGCTGACTGACTTGGTGGACACCGCTCGTCTCCCACCAGCGGCCAGCGGGTCATGCACCGCCACGAGGCGTGAGTGGCCACGCTCGAATGCTCTGACGGGCCGTTCACATGGTGAGACAGGGAGCGCCAGCCGCAATCCCTCTGACCGCATGCGCTCGGAGGATCTTCCTGGCCTCCTGGATGACAGGAGGAGAGGCAAGGATGCGTGCATCACCATCGAGCGTCGCAGGCACAACCGCAGCATGGACAAAGATCTTTTATGAATGAGTATTCATCCACCAACAGTTGAAGATCCGCTTGGACAAACGAGCGACGGAAAGGGGGAGGCCAAGATAACACACCGAGAACTCCTTCATCAGGCACACAACATATCGCGGCGTCTTCGAAAGTTCACCACGTCGCAACGAATGAGAGATGCCGATCTCTTAGCCAGGTTACAGTGTAAGCAAGAGGCATCCTCGAACACCCCCTGAGACGCCCTGCCATCGTAGCCTCGTGCACATCCGGCCGGGTCAGCAGCATGTCACGACCCCGGATCAAGTCGTACAAATCAATGGATACAAGTGCTCCCTGTGTATGAATTAATTCATCAAACTAGGATTCACCAAGTGGATAAAATTGAGATAAAAGAATCAAGGATGGAAAGCGCACATAATTTTGGGTAGAGTAGCCAGAGGAGATACTTGTATGGAGACGAGGGAAGGAAGAGGAGGCGAGGAAGAAGAAGACTTGAAATTTGTTATGTTATGTTCGATCCTCTCCCTACTTGTCTCTTGTGTGTTTTATCCTTCGTACACAAAGACTATTGACTGGGCCGGGCCCGGGTGCAGCAGCCCATAACGCAAGTGCAGCCCGGGTAATCACCACATCATCAGCATAGTCAGAGAGCCCGTGCCTATGGGTGTAATTAAGTGTGCAGGATGCTGGCTCATTCGTGATTACGGCTCTCGATTCTAACCTAGCCGCCGCTGCCGCCATAGCTTCGGCCCCCTTCTCTTCTCTGTCCGACGGCCTCGTTGACAGAAAGAGGAGTGCGGCCCCGTCCATCCGTCTCATTTTTTGTTAGGTTTTTTCTTCTCCGGCGATATTGATGACGTGGTGGCGACGATGGCGTGTTGAAATAAGGTCTCTCTGGGCTTTCCCTACTTTGACAACGTTTGATCTGATGTCGACAAAGAGTCTGTGGGAGTTTGTGTCCTTAGATCTGTTGGTTCCCTTCAGATCTTGAGAGGTCGTGTGTCTTTCGAGGAGAACTTATGGCTGACTATTGGTGTGGCGACTTCGACATCTTCTTCTGTGTTTTTTTGGCTTGGCCCGGTTTCTCCAACCCTCTGTGCTGATGGTGATGGATTGCAAGCCTGCTCTGCGTGGGTTATGCTCCAGCCGATGCCGTTTCAACGATTTTTAGATCTTGTCTCAAGGGTCGAGTGGCTATTGCGGTCTTCAAGCCTGGTATGGTGAGGGCATTCGCAGGTGTCGCCTTTCTTCGCTGTTTGTTCAGTGCAATTTTCAATCTCCGGCGGATGACGTACAATCAAAGGAAGAAGACTAGTATGATTTTTAATATATTTTTATTCTGTACTGGTCGTTCTACATCCAGTTGGCATTTGCTTTCCTCGATATTAGTCAGATTTAAAATGCCCCTTGGATGTCTTTATTAAAAAAAAAGAGCCTGTGCCTAATACCTCAAGGCGGCACCTCTTCCACCTTCCTGAACAAGGCCGCCAGAACATCCGTAACCACTACGAACATGAGGGGAGACATGGGATCCCCTTGACGTAGCCCAGGGGCATGCCAGAATTGATCCCCTGGTGAGCCATTAATCAACACTCGCGTGCTTGCCGTAGAAAGATGCAGAGCAAGCCGAGCGATCCACTTGGGGCTAAAACAGCGGCAGCGAAGAAGTTTCAGAAGGAACGAGCGATTGTACCTTCATTTCTAGGGACTAAACTTCTAATGTTCATGAAAACGTAATGCTGCCTAAATTAGATATACATGCCTTGCTCAGAATTGAAGGGCCCCACGTAGATAAAAGGGACGAGCATTGGAGCATGACCAAGTCCTCTTTCTTTTCTTCTTAAAAATGTCGATCTGATATGGCAAAAAACCTACTTTCAACTCACAGAATATACAAGGTATCATTACCGTGAATTGCAACAACTAGCTAAATTGTTAAAATCCCCATCATGTGATCCAGGCCTGGCTGAGGAGCTCCTCCCACGCCTCCCACTTTCACATTATGCAGCAGTTGCTGGAGGCAGCGCCTTGTTGCAAGGTCATCCTGTGTTTTTCACAACATATATTTTTTAAATTTTAGCAGTCAATAAATATATACATTTGATGGCAACTCCAGATTTGTCATTTTTGTGATGATAATGGAAAGCTAATGACCAACGGGTTGACATGACTCACGACAAGGTACGTCTCGACCATCCCATCTTTCAACACGTCAGGGAGGATGATTTGCAATGCAGCGCATGCCCTGCGCATGATTGGCAAAGGATAAAATTGGTGCATGTGAATCAAAGATAGACGCAGAATCATCATGTAACACACAGATGGAAGCACGAACCTGGCATCAGCTGATAACCCGTGAAAACACCGGATAACGTGCTTGACCAACTTTGCGGGATCACGCTGAACAGAGGCCACAGCAAGCAGACGCTCAGAATTTACCATCTGCGCTAAAACCTGGACCACAGCAAGCAGACGCTCAGCGTTGGTGCAGATGTAACGCAATCCAAGATCATCAGAGATAATCCTTTGGACAATGAAGGTAGCCACCTGCGTATAAACTTCACTAAATCAGTGTAACTGAAGTTGACGGCGGTGCTTGTTTAGAAGTATAACCTTGTTGCCTAGAATTCAACTTCGAATTCCACCTAGAAAGCCTGAACAAATCTTAAGTTCATGTTCAACTTGTGTGGTTTATACAGTGAGACATGTCACAGCAAAGTTGGCATATTTACATTTCGACAACGTTATAAATCGTCAGGTTCAAGTGGTAACTGATAAAACCTTATGATCGTCAGATACTGAAATTAGCAGCAAGAATAGTTGCTGGATTACCAAATAACTTCTTTTGAGGCCTCTTACGATAATTCATCCATTGGGTTTATTAACTGTAAGGTGGTGTTAGGATCCCACTAGAACAAGCCTGTTTTCTGACAAGATACTATGGATAATGTACGGTCTAGCTTACATTCTGGACCTGACCAAAACGTGAACTGATGGTAGTGTAATATTCCATATACCCTTCAGACAAAAAACATTAAAGAAGTTTCACCTTTGCTAGTGCTAGATCTATAGAGCGATCAGAAAATGAGGATTGTTGTAGGTGAGGACTGAGATGCTAGGTACATACGGTTTTTGACAGCTCATGGCCGTTCTCCATGCAAAACAGGCATGGAGGAATTATTTCAGTTCTCAGTAGAAACTCGACAACTCCAGGATCATTGGTCTGCATGTATCACAAGGTAAATCAGTTAGATTTCACTTGCATAGTAGCTAGTATTGATGAACACATGCAGATACAATCATCACCTTCTCTTATAATCAAGTTATAAGATTAGTTATGTTTTCGTTCCACATAAGGAAGCCCCATCTTTATAGTTCCAATAGCCAAGTTTGGAATAATAACAACATGAATATCCATTGACGCGGTATTACAGAATTAGTACTCTTATCCAGAGTTGGATATACATTATAGTGAATTTACTAATTCATGTAAACTTCCATATGTAGGTTACCTTAACAAGAGCGCCTATAACACCCAAGCTGGCAAGCCGCAAGTGCTCAAGAGGTCTTGTGTTGGTTTTCGTAATCATGAAGGGATACATGAAGATTGGAATATTGGCTGGAAAAAAAGAACGAAGAAGAGAGTAAGTGAATAGCCAGCAAGAATAATATAGAAAAAAACATTACAAATAGCTGGGGTGTGGGTTGGAGGCAGTGCACTTCCAGAGTGTAGGACAACTTTGATAAGCTAAAGGATGTGCTTGTTTACCGTTCAAGAAAAGCATCCTTGTCTTGGGGTGTGATGCAATACACTGCAAAAGGATTTAAAATGACAAAAAATAAAACTTAGACACATCAACGACAGCATCAACTTAACCAGCTTAAAGGGATCAATCCTCAGAGCGGATTTTCTGATTTTGGGTTCATATGAACCCAATATGATAATTTAGGGAAGAAACATAGCATGACTTTCAGAAAATTGTGAAAAAGAGCCAAGCATGTAGAGAATAGATCACACACATAAATCTTGTTAAGCAAATGATATTCTGCGAGCCAAGGAAAAAATCACAGAATTTTCTATGTTAAAAGTAAGTCCAGATCATAAATGATTTTAAATTTTACTGAATTTTACATATGTGTGTTTTTGCTTGTTCTCTACATGGATCGGTTTTTATAAAGAATTTAGGAACTTAGAGATTTAATTGATCGTGAACTTCTAGTTATTTGGCTCATATATGAGCCAAGATGAGTGGCTGCATGCATGATGCATCTCCCAAATGCAGAGGCCGGGGGTCATCCTCATTTTCCAAAAAAAAAAATGAGCCAAGATAAGAATATCGTTTCTTAGGTTAGAACCTTATAAACAGAACGGACTTCCCGGTTCTGCTTTTTCTTAGTATGCAAGACAACAACAAAACTTTCTTCTTTATCCTGAACCTCTCTTATCTTAAAAAAATAAATCAAAATGTACCTGAAAGAGAGCAAGTGCGTTGCAGGCTCGGTTTGATGCACCTGGTGATAAAGTTGGAGGATCAAGTGCAGGATAGATCGGCACGATTTCCTGCATTTGTTTCCAGATTGCCAAAATATAGCAAGTTAGAAAGCTCAGTTGAAACCTCGGCAAATTTGAAGGACATAACAGAAGAAATAAAGTACACACACATTTTCAGGAACAGATCATCAATTCATAAAAAAACATTAAGAATAAGTAGGCTCAAAGCTTCTCATTCTTTTTCATTCTTAATTTAAGCATGCCATAAACATAGAGGACAAATGAATTAAAAACATATACCTGAAGTAGAGCAGCAATAGTACCAAACGAGTGCCACAACAGTGGGGCCAACGCATCTTGACAAATCTCCTTTTTCTGGAAAAAGTTAATGGAAGGTTTACTTATAAGAAATAGTATTGCCTCGCAAAATGCATTAGTTGTTAATGACTGAGCATGCAATTAATCTGCAAGTTCTTAGTTCAGCATAAATTTTTAGGGGAAAGTTGAGCATAATTGTTCTGAATTAGCTACAAAAGAGCCGTTGATAAACTACTTGTTAGTAAGTTATAAGTTTTATAAAACTAGCTCATCAAAACAACTGTATTGGCGATGAATGCATAAATTGATTTTCATACCCTAGCAACTCTACATCTATATAAGTGTAGACACAGTATAAAGTTGACATTGTGCTTGAGCTAATCTATAAGCAAATAGATTTGTTCCCGTAACGATGCCCTTGCGCATAGTGCTGCTAACATGCTGATCAAATTGATTATATATATACAACAATAGCTAGCAGGCGCTAAGGCCTTGTACAATTAATGCCAGGTGCTTAAAAAAATAAATCAGATTTTTTTGAAGCATCAGTGTCTATTTTTAGAGAAGAGACGTCTAATTATGCATCTGCCCTGTACAAATAAGCATCGATGCTTAAGAAAAATCTGATTTATTTCTTCAAGTATCTTTCTTAAGCACCTTGCATTGTATAAGGCCTAAAACCCTAGAAAGACAGTGCACGTGACGGAACCTTAGAGATGACCAATAGGGCGTGCTCGCGCAGCGCGGGGTCGCAGAGGTCGAGCACCAGCTGCTCCGCCGACTCCAGGTCCCTGCCATTGCCTTCCTGCACGACGGCAGCGCCGCCGGCGATCGGCGAGGGAGACGCCCTGATGGAGGGGGGTACGGCGAGGGAATGCTGCAGATTCGCCGTCGCCATCGCGGACGCACCAACTGCAACCGGCACTGCACGAGAGCGGCGAAACAGCGATCGGCCCAGCCTTCAGCAATGACCTCGATCGCTTTTTTTTTTGTGACGAACGATTGCTTGCACGAGAATAGGAGTTGGAATTGGATGGAATGACCCAAACGGATTAGGATGGATTTATTTGCTGAAAGCACGGGGACGGTAATTCGGATCTCTTCTCCAGTCAAACCTTTGAGACAATATTTATCAAAACAAAAATGTTATTAATCTAAAAGAAAATGTTATTGGGAATGTCACAAATCTCGCTGCCCCGCGTGAATGCCTCATTGACCGTCTGATGCGTCGCACCAATCTTGGCGCAGAGAAGAGGTGACACGTCAGCTCTGAAACTCGTTCGTAGAACACAAAAGCAGCTCTCAGTCCTATCGAAACATACCTGCCCATTGCATTGGCTAGTGCCTCAAGTCTCCACCCGGGAGGCTTGTATTGGATCTTAGTTTCTCCTCTCTTTTTTTCTTTTTACTAGATGGCAAAAATATACAACTTTTAGTTTTAGATACATGGCAAAAAAATTAAAAATATACATGAAAAATTTATAATTTTTGAACTTCTCAAATGGCAAAAAAAATTTGTAATGTTCATGTGTCTAGTTGCTTTGTACCCATGGCCAGTTTTAGATAAATTTTCTCTTGATCCTATGGCAAATTAATAACATTGTTGTCTCCCAAACATGTTAATTTTAAGTCTTTTTGTAATGCTCTCATGGAAATGTTATCACTTATTCATGGCGATTTAGGAAATCTTTTTCTACTTTTTCACATGACAAATTTATTTTTAATAACATGTCAATTTTTTTATCATGGCAATTTCCTGTGTGTGATTTTTATGCTTTTGGAAACAAAAATATAAAGCATGGAAAATTCCTTGTATGTCTTTTTTTAACTATAATATGCAATGCCATGTATGATCCTCCTTGTCACTGTACTGTTTTATTGGTTTCTTCTTTTTTACCATGACCTTTTTGCCATGTAGGTATTTTAAATTTAAGAATTTTTAGCATGTGCTTTTTATAAACAGTTTGCATCTTTTTCGAATAGGGTCAAATCTATTATAAAAATTCATCAGAAGTATAAAATGCCTAAAACTTAATAAAAAATGCATCGACATTTTAAGGCCACCAAACAACCACTAATACCGGCATAACGAGCCACCGACGCGCCGCTATGGCGCCTCCTACCGTAGCCGGCTTGACCTTGTCGATAACAGCCGGAAAGTCTTCGTGCACGTGTCCCTAAGGACCAGCGCCCTCGAGGCGTAGTCATTGTCGTTGAACTCTTACATACTCCCTCCGTCCATGAATAAGTGTACTTCTAGTTTTTTTCTTAAGTCAAAGTTTTAAAACTTTGACCAACTTTATAGGGAAAAGTAGCAGCATTTATGACACTAAATTAGTATCACTAGATTCGTTTTGAATTGTAATTTCATAATATATCAATTTTATGTCATATATGTTACTACTCTTTTGTATATATTTGGTCAAAATTTTAAAACTTTGACTTAGAACAAAGGCTAGAAGTACACTTATTCGCGGACGGAGGGAGTAGATCTGAAGCACCAGACATCAAATCTCATCACATGACGAGAAACCCCAACCTTACCACCCAAAGAAAACGGCAGGAATCTACAACATAGCTCCACGGACTACATCCAAACGGATGAACTTGAGGGGCGTCGAAGCCCGGAAGACAAAACTCGAAGAAGGATGCCGCCATGATCAAAGACGCGGCGGCAACGGCTCTTTGAAGATAAAATAAGATTCTCCATGTCTAGCCTCCTGTTCCGGTGGTGCTTCTATCGTCATTAGAGGACGTGTGAAGGTGTGCCTCCGGTGGATCTTGCGCGATTCGGTATTTGTCTTTGGGTGATCTACTTCGATCCAGTCTTCACTCGTGTGCGTTCGTGTATCTACAGATTGAATCCTACTAATCTACGCTTCTCCTTATCGGCAACAACAATTACTTTTATGGTGTGTTGGTATTTTGAGACCTTAACATAACAACTTCCCGACTGGCAACTACAACAAGATTTTTCCCGGCTTCAGTGAGGGAGGAGCGACGACGACAACACGTCTTTGGCTTGATCCAGTGGTTGTAGTTGTCGTTAGGTGGTCTACATACATGAATGTAATTTTTATTGCTTCTTATGTTCTTTGAACTATGGTTTTTTATGAACAGACGGAAAGTAAAAAAAAATAGTGTCCACACCGGGAGAAAAAAGGCAAGTGTGACAAAAAAAAGAGAAAAACATGGTGTTGTATTTGCAATTTTCACGGTGCCGCCGCCTCCGCCTCACCGGAGCGGGGGTTCTCGCGCGCGGCCGCGGGCTCCTGGCCGCTCGGCGCCCGTCGCTCATCTACGGCCTAGCAGGTAAGGCACCTCCTCCAATGCCGGTAGAGATCTGCTTCAGCACTTGCATATTTGATATGTATTCGTGCGTATTCCAAAAAAAAAAAATTCGATCTGTTCGTGTGACAGTTTGTATTTCGGAGAAGTTTTACTGCCAATTTCTCTGATATAAACACTCAAAAAAAAATCTCTGATATAAAGGACCCAATTTGACCAGTCTACTTTCAGTTGGTGTGCTCCGAGATTAATAGTCGATCGAAGGCTCTGAAGCTTCTACTTAGGTATTTGATGGGACGATTTTGTATTTTCATATTAATCCTCTTCGGGGGCCTAATATTTGGTAGATTTAATCGTCGGAAATACAAGCAATTGCAAGGAGAATATAATTTTGGTTTATAACAAAGTAGCAGTTGATGGGCAAAACGACCAGACAGTTTGAACCTCAGTTGCCCAGCTTTGCCTTGCCCAAAATCTAGGCTAGGAAGAGAACCAAAAATGCCATGAAGTAGAAAAGTATGAAATTTCAGAGAATTAACTCACAATGCTGGATGGTTAGAAACCGTTAGGTATGGGTAATTACCAGTGTCAACTCTCAATATTGGCTAGCAGATGAGATGTATTTGCTTGATTAGGATGTTGAGCACAATAACTGCAATTCATAGGGATGCAAGCAGTGGCCTGCTTGTCCTGCAAAACTATGCAACTAGTGTAGTAGTGGGTGGCAAAATTAGCACTGATAGGGTACGAGATATGCACGCACTTTCCTTGCTTGCACCCCTGGAAACCATGATACTTCTGTTAGATAGTTCTACCTGTCTTACAAGATCATATCTGTCCTAGTATCCCCGCAGTTAGCTGTATGTTAAACTCATGGTGTTGTTCATCTTATCTTTGTATCAGTGTTCCATTGGGAGAAGCAATGTCTGGAGTAATAACTAAGTTTGCTGTTACATCGATGTTCATGTGGATGCCCCAGTTGCAATTATGTGTGGGTTCTGCCACCAGATTTTTCCAGGTTTGCTTGTTGTTCCTTTCATGTTACGATGTTCTTCATCTTTTCTATGGAAGTGAAGTGCATACGTTTGCAAGGAAACAACATCTCACTCCTTTGTCAGGTATTAGTCACCTTTCATCCTCAGCGCAAACTCTGGCCAGTGGGTTCCTTGCTGTCATATCGGTTAATATTGTGATTGGCTTCTACATATACTCTGCGATGAAGGAGGCTCCCCGCCAAGAGCCACAACCTGATGCACCTTCTCAGCGAATGCTAAAGCAAGTATTAACCAGCCAGCATCTTCTCAAGTGAGTTATGATTCCAAGGGGAAGGTGGAGTAGGCAGGAACACAACTTGACTTGGGTTTTCTTTCCAGTATACACATGTTATTCAGAATCAGTTGTGTCATGTGCATAAGGTAACATCACAGCCTTTCATTAGATGCACTGCTGTCAATTTTGAGAAGTATGAAGCCAGAACCTAATATTCCGTATGTTTAACTTTGCGCTAGCCTGAACTCATAGTGAAGCAATGTGTCCTTGCTAGAGGAGTTTGTTTGCAAACCTTAACTAGTGAATTTATATTTTCTCCCTGAAACAACTATCTCTCGTATCATTGTTGTGTATTCTTTCGGTGACTGGCCGCTGTTGAATATATTATGTTGATTTTCATTGGAAGGGAAAGATTTATCTTGTACTTGCTCTTAATTTGCCTTGTACTCATTTTGTCACCAGAGAGCCATTTCACTGTCGCTTGTTTTCCCTCCACTTTTGCCAAATGGGCACATCTTATAATTTCTGCTTTCTGACATGTTTATATGAATTTGGCTTTTAAATAATTTCTAGTCTTAATCTGAGTTTACATGTTTCCTATGCTCGCTGTCCTGTTAGAATTGGCCAATGAGCACTTTTCATTTTCACGAAGTTTTCACACCTTTGGTGCAACAAAAAGAAGGAAGTTTTCTAAATAAATAAATAAATTAGAAGATATTCTGAATAAAATGGTGTAGTATGAAACAGAGAAATTCCACAAGAATCTCTGACTACAAATCTACAATATACATTCAAATCCAGCGTCATAAGGGACAGTGATGGACTGATCTTTTACATGAATAAAGGGACGGAAAATGGAAACAACCATAGTAGTTATAGAACATAGATTCAAATCAAAGTAGAGACACAAACATCCCTTCTTTTTGTATTGTTCCCAGTCCCATTACATCAGCACCAACCTTCTTATTTTAAACAGCCTTTCCTCAAAACACCACAAACTGCATTTGTATTTTTTTATAGGCACAAATTGCTTTGCTGTACAAGCGAGAATAAAGAAACGGAACAACATAGCCTGCTGGTTTTGTTGTTCAAACAATCTCCCAAGTTGAAGAATATTGCAGAGAGGCATACATGTTCTTAGAAATAAATTACCATGTTGCACCTGTATGAAACAAAGAAAGGAACGATTTTAGATCCAAAGAATCTCAGGTGTAATTTTTGGTCCTGTGTATCCCTTGAACCATAATCTTACAAATTTCCGATAATTGTCAAGCAATGGTAATATAATTGTTTTAAATTCCAAGAAATAGTAATATAATTGTTTAAAATTCCAAGAAATAG